TACTTTTGGTCATTCAATAATTTCAATAGCCTTTCAAAACAATTCTACAGGTTTTACTGGCAGGAGATGAAAAATGGTAATTTCATTGGTTTTAAGCTTTCACTCATTAAAACATTAATTACAAATTACACAAACAGGTTAATGTTCATTACTTCCTAGTTTACCAATGCTGTCAAAATTGACAGCATAAATTACTAAGTCCTTACTAGTATTTCCAGTGACAATGGAAATAAATATTGTACATAAAGTTTTTTTTTTTTGTTTTTTTTTTTACAATGATGTTCACCCTGTACAAGGCCCAACGGCCACTCAAGGCAGAGTTACAAAGTAAGAGGCATAGTTTATAGAGATATTTGGGAAAGATAACGGTTAACCTTAGACTTGAACAAGTTAAGATTGTAGTGATCAAGTATCATCTTGGGAGTCAGTTCCACAAAGCAGAAGTTTGTGAGAATACAAAGGGAATGTGAGTGGTTCGCTACAATGTGCATGGCAGGTCTTAGCCATGAAGGGCAGAACTGGTGGAACTAAGGAATGTAGTTCATCTGAACACTTTCCATAGAAATAGCAATAGAGCAGTTAGAGGCTTGCAACATTTCGTCTGTGAGAAAGGGATTGTAGGGTGGAAAATTACAAACATTAGAGACACAAAATTACACTTAGTTTATAGATAATGAAAGTAAATCCATATTTGTCTAGGTAGCCTTGCCTCTATAAACAGAAGGAATGGCTGCTGGGAATTAATATAATCAGACTGTGATTATATATTATTTTTTTTCTCCTCTGCCGATCCCCTGGCAAATCTTACTGCATTTTTTTTTTTTTTTTTTAAATACTGTGGACAGTTAACACATTTGAACTTGATTGGCTCCAAGGAGTGAGGATCATTTCAGTTCATCTTTTTACAGTGATTTATTTTATTATCCCAGCTCTTCTTCCCCTTATTCATTGTGTTTTTTCTTCTATACTATTTTAATATTATGTTAGCAGTCATATTCAGAGTCAACACATACTACCCCTGAACCCCCACCACCACCAATTGGGATGGTGACCCAGTCCTGATTGGAGGCCCCAGGATGTGCTTTGTGACACTAGCTATCAACATTTGCTTTTTTTTTTTCTACCTATATTTTTATACATTACAAATTAAACGAAATACAACTATTAAAGAAAGAAAACTTTTGCAGATTTTGACATCATTCTGAGGGGGGGGCGTCCATCCAAATCTGTGAATTTGCTTTGCTCATGTTAAGTCTCGAAAAAACACAATACAAAATTCACTATTTTTTTTTATCCATAATGTTGAAAGTGTTAAATTATTCAACTTTTTAACAAGAAAAATCTCAAGTTGATGTTAAAAATTGCCACAAAACATTTATTTATTTTTTTATATCATTTCATCCCAAGCAAAGCAATAATGCCACTAAGATGCAAGGGGCTACTAGGAGTGAAAGTGAATGAAACTTTAGAAGGAACCAGAAAACCAATCTGAAACAAGAAACAAGAGATAGGCCTGTACTCCTGTTTCATAGACAGTGAAGGAGTGTTTAAGATGTAATGATCTATTATCACAGGTCTCTAATTTGTATTTAGATACACTGTATTTATTTTCCAGTTTTCAAGTTGAATTGTTCACCTAGATTGCATATGATCCATAATTTTTAATATCCATTAATTAGGTTACAATAAAATTTACACTGAATACTACCTTATGAAAACTGAAATGTAGGGGGGGGGCTTTGGACCATCCCTGGTCATATTGGTAATGGTCATCATATTTTCAAATTTTATTGCTAGATGATCCTGGTCATGAAAGTGTTTTATTTTTTTTTATAAATTTAACTACTTATCTACTGACAAGAGTTTTTTAATGTCACATAAAAAAAACAAATAACTGTCATAGCTTAACCTTGAATTTCAGAGGCCCTCTACTAAATGACACATCATCTTCAAAAACGTAAGTGATTGTCAACTTGGAATCCTTTTGCTAAAGTTAATATTCAATAATACATAAAATTAATTAATAAAACAGCTAACCAAAAACAAAAAAAACTAGGATTGTAGGAAAATGTAACATTGCTGATAGCATTTGGTTAATATAAAATGATAAATGCAAATTTTACAAGTGCAAAAAAAAAAATAAAATAAAATAAAAAAAAATAAACAAAATCATCCTGTAAGAAATATTTTCCTTCTAGCTTCAATCTAACCAGAATCAAGATTTAAAACCAAACCACTGTACCTCTCCAGATTAATACTCTACCACTGAGACATCAAGTAAGTTGAAATTACACAACATTTTTATTTTATTAAAAATCAAGGAAAAGCATTACATTTCAATAATGATATCAAACATAATTCTCCAATATCTAATAAAAACCTGGTCACATCTCACCCCCAAAAAGAGCTGGAAAAAATACTTTCCAAGACTCTTCAAAATATTTTAGAGTTAAATTTTGAGAAATGTTGAGAAATGATTCTTTTCTAAATTTTTTCTGCTATGTATTTATAGATTCTTGATAAAATCCAAAAAAGAATCTGCAATGTTATTGGTCCTGGTCTGGTATCTGTTTCAGTCACTTTCCTACTGCTATAACATTCCTTCCCTCTGCCTTTTCTATAAATATTTTCATGGTAATTATTCTGAAGAGCTTTACTATTTGGTACCTAAATTTTATTAATTCATTTAAAAAAGTAGTACTAGACTGACAGCAAGGTCTCATCATTTTATAGTTAAAACTTAAAATGGCTAGATGTAACCCTAAATTCTATGCTAAAAGCTAACAGTTTTATCTCTTGCAACTTTAACTTGGGAGACTCTTCTGACTTCTTGATTAAAATTTAAATGCAATGTCAATGTTATCTTCTATCTTAATTCCTGTTCTTTTATTTTTCCCTCTCTTCAAATTCAGTAACCCATTGCATCTTAGTGGCTTTATTATCTTACTTTGCGTAAAATGAGTAAAAAAAAATATACCGAAGTAACTATCATTAACAAACTGAATATTTGACGGTTAAGAAAGAGTAAAACTGTAAGAAATATTAAATTACCTGATTGTATGTCGGAAATTCAAATAAGTTTAAAAAAAAAAAAAAAAAAAAAGTTTATAGCGAAATCCTAAAATATAATAAACACAGTTTTGTCACTTATGCGGACATTAAAAATAGACAATGTTATTTTTTTAAATATGATTACCATAGGTTTTAGAAGGTAACATTCTTTTTTTCACTTTCATTTTTAGTAAAGTAATACTCCAACCTTTGGAAATCATATTTCCCTCACAAACCAACACAAACGCATTTTTGTTTGCTGTATTGCATCAAGTCTATTTTGTAAACCTTTTTGTATTTTTGTTTCTATAGTAAGCCTTAAGGTAAAATTACAAAAACGATTTTTGTCTTTACCTGTTTTGAAAAAAAATTAATGGATTGGAGGAGATGGGGGTTCAAATTTTCTCAAGCGATTCTATTATATATATATATATATATATATATATATATATATCAGCTCCTAAACAAACATGATAAAGAATTAATTTATTTTAGTTTTAATTTAATTCGGACATTCTTCTGCTGTTCAGTCGTTCAGTGTTTTTTTTGTTTTTTTTTTTTTTTTTAAGTTGGATGAATGACCCATGATTGTTGTAAAAAAAACAAAACAACAAAAACAAAAACAAAAGTGTTGTAAAATATCAAAGAAATCAAAAGAGGCATCATCATAGAAAAAGAATAATAAATTTAATAAAAAAAAATATAAAAAATCTGTTTTTTAAAGGAGGGAGAAGAAAATTAAAATAAATGAATTCAACTAAAAAAAATAAAATAAAATAAAATTGTTTATGAATCATTTATTTAACAATTTTTTTTTAACAATTAGAATTGAACAGGATACAAAAAAAAAAAAAAAACTGACTTCAAAGTTTTCATTTTTTTTTTTTTTAATTTTTTGTCAATTCTTGCTTAAAAAAGGGGGGAGAATTTATTTTTTTTTAATTCATTTTTTATTTGGATATTTGTTTACGTTTTTCTTATATTTTCGGTGGGTGGGGATTTAATTGATTCCCCCTCCCCTTAAACAAAAAAAATATTTCTATTTATTGATGCAAATTTATCAAACCATAAAAAAAGGAAACAATATGAAGCGGACACTTATATTTGAATTAGTTTTTCTTTCGCAAGTTTTCTTTTGTATTTTTTTTTAATTTATATAATTTATTTTTCAAATCACGAATAAAATAATTGGGCATGTGATTAAAATTTAATCGCGCTTTTATTTTTTTTTTAAATTAAAACTAAAAAAAAAAAAAAAAAAAAGAAAAAGCTGTGTCCATTCCTTCAAGTCAAAAACAAAAAATATTATCCAACAATAAAAATGAAGAATTGTAGAAAGAAAAGGTTTTTTTGTTTTTGTTTTTTCGTGAATGCAACCAAGAAAAAGTTAAAATGTGGGAGAAAAAAATTAAGGGCGAATGACGAGGAAAAGTGATTTTTAAACAAAAATAAATAAACGAAGCAAACAACAAAAAAGAAGCCGAAATTATACCTCGGCTCATCAAACAAAACAAAAAAGAAACATCTATGATTTAATCATTATATCGATTTCGATAGTAAATCGTGTCTGATTTTCAACCAGTTTACTGCAAATAAATCTTCTTTTTTTTTTTTTCAACAGCAGTAATATAAATAATACAGCGTAGAAGAAGAAGGTGTCAAGTTAAGTGAGCACAAAATGGGGGGGATCAGTTCATTTGATTCATTTATCCCATTAAAAAAAAGGATTTGTATATAAAGATCGGGATTAAACGCAGAGAAAACTATTGAAAAAAAATAGAGGAAATGTTTATAAAGAATTAATGAAAAAAAAAAACGAAATAAAATAGCCACCCATTTGCAACACCGGCGGTGTTGGGAAGAAGGGCGAAAAAAAAAAAAGGGGAAGTTTTGAGAATTGTGTTGATTAGATCGAAATAAACAAATAAAAAAAGGAATCAATGTTTTACCTCATCACTGATGTTTCCCACGATGTAGTAGGTAACATCCTTGAAGAGTCCCTCAATCGGCTCCAGGGCCGCCGTTGAAGACGACGACGATGATTTTGTGTTATCCTTGTTGCTGTCGACCGTCATTGCTTCGGCAGCCGACAACAATGTACGCGGTTTCCCGCTGAAATCCTACAAAGTCTCGCGAAATCTCGTTCGATCTCCACAACACTTTTCTAAAAAAAAAAAAAAAAAAAAAAGTATTATTCATTATTGATGAGGAATTTTGTGCTCAAATCAATATATTAAACAAAAACTTTTATGATATTTCAACTTTTTAAATCAATACCAGGATTTTGAGTCGAATGGAAATATAAATTTGTGTGAAATTCAGCTAATGATTTATTGCAAGTTTAGCTATTTCCGGTACGGTTTCATACGTAAACCAAACCGGGTGAATTAAGTTTAATAATTAATCTGTTAAGCACGTTAAAATATAAAACGAGAAGGAAAATTTCCTTTTTTGTTGTCATAAGTTTAATAAATAATTGCGTTTCTCTAATGTACAATAATATCTCCTGTATAAAGAGTGAAAATGAATTTTCCCAAAAAAACATCAACAGCTTAGTCTTCCATAGTTATAGCAATACTCCTAAAAAGTTTACCCTAGGCAAAATTTTAAAAAAGACATAAAACCTAAATCATGTAGAAAGGCATTTAAAAGGTAAAAAATGGATGTAAAAAATGTGACGAATGGTTTATCTAATTTTGCTCATACAAAATTAATAAAAATAAATTTATGAAAGTGCTTGAAAATTAACTCAAGCAAGTTTCTTTGAAAGCACCTTAAGATACGTTTTAGAAAAACTTAAAAAAAAAAAATTGTAAAAATCTTTTTATAATCTCCATTTTTACTACATGACAATAAGATTAAATTATATTTTTTAGAAAAATTAAAATAAGACAACTGTAGATTTGGATTAGGATTATTATTTTATTTTATTTAGTTAGTTTGTTTTGTTTCTAATTATTTTAAAATAAAATTCTACCTGGTGTAAGTTGTTTTGAGCACTTAAGATATGTATAATTTGATAATTTTAATTTAAAATAGGTTGTATGAATAAAATAGGAATTTATCAAAAACAAGCAAAGAAAAAAAAACATAATCCATTTTCCTTTTTGGAAGTTTAACTTGAAATGTTACTTATCTTTATTGTTTGTATAACAAAAACATAAATTTTATGCATGACTATAAAAAAAATCTCTCCCCACCTTTTCACAATTTATTTTACATCAACCTGCAACTACCACCACCTTCATTCTCTACTTTTCCCCCACCTTTTATGTTTCTTCTCCCCCACCCACTTTTTTTACTGTTTCTTTTCCTCCCCTCTCCTTTTCATGTTTCTTTTCCTCTCACCTCCTTTTTTAATGTTTCTTCTTCTCCTCCCACCTCCTTTTTTAATGTTTCTTCTTCTCCTCCCACCTTCTTTTTTAATGTTTCTTCTTCTCCTACCTGCTTTTTCTTTCCTTCTTCTTCTTGTTTAACCTTTCTTCCTCCAACAATTTTCTTTTTTTTTTCCAAACTATCATTAAGTATTTATTACATATGTCCGGAGGAGTGGGCTTAGACTTGGTTTTTTGTATTATACTGCTCATGACTGGCTTCTGTAATAATGTTCAACCAGACTAGCTCATTAACCATCACCATCATTAACTGTGGCACCAAACGAACAGTATATAGTACAATTCTTTCAAATGGGAAAGTTGACCTATATTGAAAATATGCTTTCAAAGTCATTGGGAAATAAGCAACAACCTCAGCCACCAAGCATTTGGATAGCCATAGATATTAACATATGAGAAATTTTTATATGGTGATTTACTAAGCATAGCTTATATGCAGCATCAAACTCATTACTCAGTCATAAGTGATCTAGTAAAACAAATTTGCTAACCATTACATCACATCGAAATAGTACCCTGTTTTACTAAGTATAGTTTAGATGTGGCACAAGGCCATAGGTGTGTATCCAACTCACTATTCAGCTGTAATTAATCTAGCTTCACAGTCATGTTAACCACATTAACATTAACAATAGCCCAAGGGAAATTTTTATATAATGACAAGTTTTATTCCATTTTCTGTTTAAAAAGATGTGTGAGAATTTGTTTTATGTCCATACATTCAAAAAAGATAAATGTTAATATAAGATCCATTTTGATCCAAAAGTTAAATTACCAACATTTTTCCTAGGTTCCTTCTACCTTTGATCAGCAAATTTTTCTCTGAAATGTATACTAAAGCCTTTTATCATTTTTGTTTAGACTTATTGTGTTCTATTTTGTATATGATTTGTTTGTAATTTATATATTTCCATTGTGGGGTTGACGATGCCTTTTTAATCTCAAACAAAATTACATGTATATATAAAAAAAAGAAACACATTCAGACAAGGCTGATGCATTACCAGAACAACCCACAACATATTCTTTGACATTTTATAGATTTTATAAATATATGGATGAACTGAGAAGTTGGTTAAGAGTGAAACATTATCTTAAAGCTTAGATAATTAACTTATAGATAGCAAGAGAATAATGAAAATCTCTCAGCCTAACCAAGAAAGGATTAAAAACTAGTATTTGATCAGATTTGGGGAGGTGGGTTGAGCTGAGATCTTTTCAGCACTTTCTTACATTTATAAGTTTAGATAGGGTGTCAGTCAGTTCAGTGCTGAGACCAAATTTATAAGCAATGAGCAGGTGGATATTTCCTTAGCTTAGTTTGGCATAAGGCCTAATTATGGAAAGCCTTATGAGGATTTTGAAGGACAGCTTTAGTGTTAATATTGCTACAAACACAAATCTGTGCAAAAGGTGGATTAAAGCACAAGAAAATTTGTATTTCAATGTTTATATTTTCTGACCAATAATAAAATAGAATGCAATTAGCCAATCAGCAGAATTAGATTTTTTTTTCTTTTTTATATGATCTCTTACTTGATTGGATATGTGTTCTGATGTAATGGATATCAGCTTAGAATGAGAAATCAGAAAGCCAAGTTCGAATTCCAGCCAGGTTCATTACATTCATTTACATGCAAATATCTTTAAGAAACATATGAATCCATTTCTTCTCCCCCACACCCAACTTATAGGGTGAATAACTGAACCGACTTGGTCATCTAGCCTTGGTTGGTAACCAGTGTACTGCAGAAAGAAACGGCAACCAACTGCAGGAAAAACTTCTACCTAGTCACTTATAAATTGAAAGCGACATGATCAACCAAACATGTTTCACTTAACTCAGTGGATCTCAACCTTTTTTTACCCATGGACCCCTTTCCCCTTCTTTTTATCTTGGTGGACCCATTCATAGCTATTGGACATAAGAACAATTTTCTATTCTTCACTAATATAAATTTTAAGGTTTTAATTATCAAAGAAATAGTATACGATTAAGCTTTATTTTTAAATGAAAACTAATTTAATACAAATAAAATATTCTACTATAATTATAATAATAATTATTATTACTATTTTTAATTAACACAACAATTGTGTTTTGCCTGTGGACCCCCGGAAATATTACATGGACCCCTAGGGTCCATGTAGACCCCGGTTGAGAACCACTGACTTAACTGATTGATTACTACTATTAACATTTAATCAGTAAAACATTGTCAGCATTAATAAAAAAATATATGGGCATCACTAAAAAACATACAGGCATCACTAGTAAAAATCATGCAGATATCATTAAAAACATTTAGGCATCTTAAAAAAACATACATCCATCACTAAAAACATACAGGCATCACTAAACACATACAAGTATCACTAAAAAATATTTAGGCATAACAAAAATACAGGTATCACTAAAAACATACTTGCATCACTAAAAAACAGTTGCATCACTAAAAAACATAAAAGCATCACTAAAAAAAACATACAAGCATCACTAGACAAAACATACAGACATCACTTTTAAAAAGACATACCAGCATCACTAAAAAAACATGCAGGCATCGCTAAAACATACAGGCATCACAAAAAAAGGAAAACATACAAGCATCACTAAAAAAGGCATACATGTATCACTAAAAAAGCATTCAAGCTTCACAGAAAATACATACAGGTATCACTAAAAATACAGACATCAGTAAAAAATGTACAAGTATCACTAAAAACATATAGGAATGGCTAAAAACATACAGGAATCACTAAAAAACAAAACATACAGGCATCACTAAAAAATGCAGCCTTGTATTGGGTGAACAATAGTAAAAAAAATTATGTAAAACAAATCATATCAATGACTAAAGAGATGCCCCCCACCCTTTGCATTGATGTGAATTCAGTCAATGAATTTATAAAAGGATGTGTAATCATTCACTTTTAGTTCTTCTCCCCTATTTCTTCATAATGGCTGGAAATTATAAGATAATTTAAATAAAGAAATTTTACCCTTCAATCTCTTTTTTTCTCTCTTCATTTTACAAATCAAGTTAGAACTGCTATCAACCATAGTATACCAAGTTGTACCATGTTTCTTTAATTCAAACATGTAATGTAAGATCAATGCTAACAGTTTCTGGCTTGTGTAATTCCCTTCTGGCTATATGCTTTCCAACTTAAGTTCTATCTATTCCGTAAAGGGTAACTCACAGAAGACTCCATCACAACAGCATCAGACCACAGCTCTCATTGGCCACAAAATGCAAAAAACAATTTTCCATAAACTGGGAATGGATCCTTCACAAATTTTGGAGGGGTTGTTAAAACAAATTTTGGAGGGGTTGTTAAAACAAATTTTGGAAGGGTTGTTAAAACAAATTTTGGAGGGGTTGTTAAAACAAATTTTGGAGTGGTTGTTAAAACAAATTTTGGAGGGGTTGTTAAAACAAATTTTGGAAGGTTTGTTAAAACAAATTTTGGAGTGGTTGTTAAAACAAATTTTGGAGGGGTTGTTAAAACAAATTTTGGAGGAGTTGTTAAAACAAATTTTGGAGGGGTTGTTAAAACAAATTTTGTAGGGGCTGTAAAAACAAATTTTGGAGGGGTTGTTAAAACAAATTTTGGAGGAGTTGTTAAAACAAATTTTGGAGGGGTTGTTAAAACAAATTTTGGAGGGGTTGTTAAAA